CCATCCGCGACCCCCCATTGCATATACACTTTCATGTGTGGTGGCCATTATAATAGTGAGATTCGTTTAAGAGTCGCCGTGCAATGAAGTGTAGCTGACTGATTGTCGTCAGTTGCTTAATATTAGAAATATTTATGTCTGAACCTTGAAGAGTCTGACCTGGCCGTATAGTTCAAGTGTCACACAATATGCTATTCATGTTGAAAATATGTCAAATATCAAATGCTCTTGTGAAAAGATTCAAGTTTTACTACGTCAAGTAATTAAAAATATCCTTAAATATTACGTAATTCCACTGAAATGCGAAAGATCATCATTCTGGGATGGGGTAAAATAGAGGAGGATAACATGTAAATAAATAGTAAACCCCATAAATACGTATGTAATGTTGTTAAATTTAACACAACTCATTATAATGTTTTTTTTGCGCAAGTAGATATTTAATATTTTAGTTGGCGCGTTATGAAACAAAAAGTTTTACAATAAAGCAGCAAAAAAATATTAGATGCCTCCCAGTGGCACAGCGGTATGTCTACGGACATATACTGCTAGAAACCGGGTTTCGATACCCTTGGTGGGCAGAGCAAATATAACCCTTTGTGTAGCTTTGTGCTTAATAGCAAACAACAACAAATATTAGATATTTTGTTAGACATATGGAAATTCATTTTTACCAAACTTTTTTATTTTATTTTCGGTCATATAGTATATATATATTTAAGTTTATTCAAAATGCTATCGAGAATTTATTGCTTTCTGGTCAGAAAATTCCTTCAATATAAGAAAGACACGAGGAAGTTAACGTCTTAGTATTACGTTTCTTCATAAAACTTCTGTTGTCGCATGTGTAGTCTCGTTTACCAATCATAAAAAAAGATATGCAACATAAAGCACTATATATGTAGGTGGCGTTTTTCATCTCTATTATTTGTTGCTTGAATATACATAAATACATGTTACACATCCCTATTAGTATGGAACACAGCAACTTGCGTGCACAAAAAATGAACGAATGGAGGTGGAGGAACGTAAAAGTCGTTCTTTGCTACGAGCTTCGAAAGATTTCATGATTTCTAGCCATTTGTCATGTGCATCACCACAGGCAGCACACGCCATTCTAAAGGAAACCAGAACGGAAAAACCTCCATCATCAAGTGAAAAGGCCAGTAATTGCTCGCACAACAGCAAAATCACGAGCTGAGATGTGCTTTCAGTTAAAGGGGTAATATCACGCTTTAGGTAAAGACGGGGAAGGCGTGGCTATCCTGTCACAAAAAAACATGTTAACATTAAAAACAGAACATTTCTATCGTTTCATTTCGCGCACTTTTAGCTTATGTATTTTATTATTTCTATGTAGCAGTATCTAATTGGCTGAATATGTGAGCCATAGAATAAACGATCGTAGAATCATACTTCATCATAACATGTGGAACATACGGAGGTCATAATTACAAAATAATTAAGTAAAACGAGATTTTGTTCAACCAAGACTTTTGACATATACAGCTGAAACCTTATCTGTGTATTACATATATTGTATTTTCTGGTAATTTGGGGATGAAAGTTTCTCATATTTCTAATTGAAGTTTAAATGATGAAATTACATACTCTGGCCTTCGACATAAATAGCGTAATTTTGTGGCGCAGTTGAAACTTAACAAATCCAGATGTATCAACGAGATTATTAAATTGTACTTGAGATGTGAAAGTACTATACAGATATTAAAGTCTGAGAAAGTGTTTCAGTGACAAAGAGAACAGTAGCTGATTCCTGCTGAACATTAGAGCTACTTCGTGAAAGAAAGTACCTGAAAACCAGCTCATTCGCTAGTTGTAAGAACTTTCTATTTGGCTAAAAGAAGCTTTCCGTAGGAAAAATATTAACACATGTTTTGCAGTCCATTCGCACAGAAATCCATAGGTGCTGTGTCCGGCGACTTGACCGATAGGCATATATATCATCTTGTAGAATAGAATAAATACCCGTTTCCTTCTCCAGTTTCTTGAGGTGTGTGACATTGGAGTCTATGTGTTGTGGAAGCAGCTTGTGTGCACGTGACGTGTGTTGCATTTCCAGACGTTTGATTATGTTGCGTACTGTTGCCCGGGGCACGTGGACAGTTTTTGCAATGGACTTTTGTGATCGTGGAATCTCATCTGTTACATGATGCCACATTTTGCTTGCCACAGTTGGCGTACGATTTGTTGTGGGCATATTTCTAGATGGTTCTGGGACTTCACATACATCCCTATTATTTTGTTTTG